TAGTAAAGGAAACCTTACATGTGTTCCCCATGTCTTGTTACTAACAACCACCTGATGTGAAGTCAATTAAGCTTTGGGAAAAACTACAATCACTATATCTTCAAAAATTGTTTCCATCTTACTTTCTCCGCCTGTTCTGGGGCTCCAAATAGGCAAATGTTAGACTTTTTCTCTGTGTCCTGCTCTTCTCTTTTCCTTTTTTATTCTGTTCTCCCTTTGCTTTAGTTTGGAGATTTTTCTAGTGACTTATCTTTAAGTCCACTTGTGCTACGATTTATTAAACTCATCTAATGAGTTCTTAGACAACATTTTCACAGTTCTGAAATGACTATTTGGCTCTGTTTTATAGATTTTAATTCTCTGTTGGAATTCTCCAATTTATCCTCCATTTTGTCCATCTTTTACATATTAAAAAAATGTAATTCTGTCTGCTAATTCTAATATCTGGATCACTTGTTAGTTTTTTCTCTTGACTAAAGGACAAATCTTCCTTCCTCTTTTCATTTCCAGACTATTTTATTTAATGCTGGATATTGTGTATAAAGGAACTGCACAGGCTCCAGATGAAGGGTTTCCCTTGCATCTGCTAGGCAGACACAGTGAAGGTAGTCAGGGACTCAGCTGGGTCAGAGCTGGGTTGCAGAAGTCATAACACATATTCAATTTCTGGCTCTTTTTTCTCCGGAATGGCCCTCTTAGCTTTCAGCCGAAAGCCTTGTGTATGTCTATGGCCTCTGTTCTTCAGAGTTTTACACTATGCTCTTGGGCCTTCCATCTCACTTCATGTCTGAATATGGCAAATATCTTGAGAAGGAGATATTTGTGTTTCAGGCAGGTCCCACTCCTCAAGCAGAGTGCTGTCTCCTAGCTGCCTCAAGATCACAGCTGATGTCAGTGTACTGGATTGAGGCTCCTTAGACTTACTCTCAGCTCCGGAAATTTGGCATATGTGTGCTAGGTAAAAATAAACTTCAGGGCTCCTGAAGTTTCCAAATTGTTGCCAACCACTCAAGACACCCAAGATCTTTGTTGGTTCCTCTCTTCCTCTGGAGTTCCTTTATATGGGCCAATACCAATCCTCGGGTCGCTCCCCACACTGGCAAATAATCCCAGGGAAGAAACAGCTGATAATGGCTAGCTCACCTCAGAATTTTTAGTTTATTTAAACTGCTTTGGTTACATAGCTTCTCTATGTCTTTAAGATATATTTTCCCCATTTTTTCCGCCTTTTATTTTGTTTTGCAGTAGAAATGGCATTCTGCTATGACCTACTATATCCTAGTTAGAAACAGAAGCCTCCAAGTCTGGGAGTGATTTCTTGATTCTGTTCCCTCCTTATTCGAGAGCATTTTATTTTCTCTTCAGTTACAATTTGAAGGCTGCACTCTTTGTTATCCTTCGTTTTTCTGTAGCCAGAGCAATGGCAGAGGCAGAAGTAGGGTTCAGCTGAGAAAATGCGCAATTTGAAAAAAATATCTGGGTTCTGCACTCTCTTCTAAGAGTTTATTACACACTAGAGGCCCGATGCACGAAATTCATGCAAGAGTAGGTCTTCCTTTCCCTGGCTGCCGGCACCGGCTTCCCTCTGGCACCCAGGACCCGGAGTTCCCTCCAGCCACAGGCAAGCACCTGGGACCTGGGCTTCCCTTGCAGCCCAACTTTGTCTGGAAGGTCGTCTGGAAGGACGACCAGTCTAATTAGCATATTACACTTTTATTATAGATTATATGTACTCTAAGAAGGTTTGCTACCCCTACTCAGGGACTGTTTCTCATTCAAATAGAAGGAGATCATTTGCATCATTTCCTCAATTCAGTATGTCACAATAGAGTAAGTGTGTACTAGTAAGTCCCAGGGTTTCTTTTCCACATTTATCGACATTACAGTGCAGTTGCCATTTCTACTATTTCTCTGGCAAGAAAGGAAAAAAACAAAACAAACAAAGAAAAACAAGAACACACACATTTAGTTGGCTCCTCAGTTCTGGAAATATTATGATAATTCTCAGGATTTTGTCAACTCACTAGTATATTTGAATACTAGAGTAGATTAAGTCATTAAGTCATGCTGTGCCTCTTCACTCTGAAATCTTCCGTTTCTGTCCTTGGCCATCGTTTTTGAAGTCTATTATATCTAATTACATTATTCTATGTTGTTTGCTCTTGGTGAATATATTTGCTAGTTTTTACTATTCTGTACTCATTTTAAATCTCATTTTAAGGGGAGGGAAATTCTATGAGTTGAACTAAATCCATTTTAATTTGAATATACAGTGAGTTTTCTAATATCCTAGAGGTTAAACCTGGATATTTGATTAAGAATTTCCTAACATCATGAGTATTGGACTGCCTGGCAGCTTACAAAGGTACCATTATAGCAGTCAATTTTTTTCACATTACCTAAGTCCAAATTTCCACTGTCTAGATTACTCCATGTTTTAAAGATCCAGTATTTTCCTGATCAGCTCACTTAAGTTATTAGGTCAGTTAATACTGATGATAATTCTGACATACATATAAGAAAAAGGCCCATAAATATGACCTTTCAGTTTGCCTGATGTTGAAAATACTGCTACATCAAGCTGGAAGGAATGAAACAAATTTATTTACAGAGATATAAGGAGGTAAGTATCTCCTTGAAAAATTTTTTAGCGAAAAGGTATAGGGGATGGAGGGAGAAGGAGGTCCTAATATATGGTGACAGGAGAAGATTTGACTTTGGGTGGTGGGCACACAGTGCAATATACAGATCTTGTAACATAGAAAACCACACCTACAACCTATATGTTCATGTTGACCAATGTCAACCCAATAAATTTAATTTTTTTTAAAAAAAGTTTAAGGGTACTTGTATAATTGCTTGGAAATGGGGAGAAAACATTCTCTACTGGTTCCTACCAAAACCATTAAGGTTCTGGAAGAAGCTTCCGATTTCCTTCATAGAAAAATTTGTTTGCCCATAATAGACAAGTTTCCTAATAAGCTACACTAAGACATAAGACTTGAAGACTTAAAATTAGTATATTAATAAATACTTTTCATAATGGCTTTAATAGGATTTTATGTTCAGAGGAGTATCTATTACTATTTTTGAATGAGGAAACAAAAATATAAAAAAAGTTAATTTGCCCCATTATAATGACATGGATATTTCACAATCAAGTATCATCTACAACAGCCACATTCTAAGTTCTCTAATATTTTCTACCTTTGCAGTGAGTGCTCTTTCCAAGACAGTTTTTCAAGTGTAAATTATATATTCTTTCCATGACTAAAAAAAAAAAAAAAAAAAAAAGTATGCCAAAAGAGCAAAAGTAACAGGATAATAAGGTAATTAGCTGTTAAACTACTTTTCCATAGTTACTCAGTAGTAAATATTAGCAACATTTTTTTTATTATTCCAAATAAGTACTCTATCTGGCCATGGCTCAGCTGTACACCTGGCTAAACCAATTATTTTCACACTTTGCTTTTATAAAGAATACTGTACTATCAAATATAACCACAAACACCAATTCCCTCAATTCTCTATTGCCATTTAGATTCAGAGCTATGTAGACTAAGCCAGCTCCACTACTAAGTTACAAAAGCAATGTAATTATAATCTCATTAGTATTTAACCATGGCTTTGCACACTGGCATAGAATAATATATCAAGGCAGTTATAAGATCTGGAATAAGGTTCTTTCTCAGGATTTTGGTCTCCTCGTTTGTAAATGAGACTGGATTAGACAATCTCTTTTCTACTCCCAAAATTTCCTAAATTTCTCTATAAATTAAATTTATCTATGCATTTTATAGTAATTAGTTGACTTACCAATTTCTATAACAAAAACCAAACGCTTTTCATTTTTTCAGATATTTTCATTTTGATTTACTTAGTTCTAACAAAATATCTCAATGATCTTTAAATGAAAATATTAAAGTCTGTCAGTATTCATAGCAGAAAAAAAAGTTAAAGAATTTATATGTTACATTTCTAATCAAGTCCAAAGAATAAATGTGTTTTTTAAAATCCCATGCCTTACTACATTACTTAGAGTTAATATAACAGAGTTGACAAATTTTATTCACAGAAACATTGTATAAAACTCAATGATGTATTCCACAAGTATTAGTTATTAGCAACTACTAATAATCAATGGAAATATAAGATTTATTAATATGTATAAATAAACTAAATGGGGTTGGGATATATAAATGAAATAGATGAAAACTAAAAGCTTTGCTAATTGGAACTAACTTTCTAAATGGGAATATAAAGAACATACAATTTAGAGTTCTCAAAGTTGTATCAAGATGAATAATTATTTGACAGTTTAAGGATAACTATAACTTTTACATGAAAAATTTGTTAAATAAATGAATGAATTCCCCACCATAGAAGATTACCTGGCACATAGTAGATATTCAATAAAAGTATGTTGAATAAATGAATGAGTTAATATTGAGTCTCATTTTGAAAAATAAGACCAAAAAAAATTTTAAGCTCTTGAAAAACACATTATTGACTACTTATAGTTACAAATGTTTCAAATGAGAACAGGAAAACAAAATGAAAATATAAAGAACAGCTCTAGTCAATGAACCATGTCAAATGTTCTCTTTGTCAAAATCTACAAATAATTATATTCTGCCATTATGTCTTTAGATTGAAATTATGCAGCCTTAGGATTCAGTTTAAGATACAGAAATGTAAATGAGAAAACATATTCCTTTATTTTCCCCTTCATTCACTGAGCAGATATTTCTTGAACACTCAGTGGTAGCCGGTACTTATTTCTTTCCTTCTTAGGTCCATGAAATGATTAAGTCAGAGACAGATTAGCCAAGATTATATAAAAGAAATGTTTCTGTATGTAAATGGTCATAACTCACTTTTCACTTAATTCCTATTGTTCCATGCACAATGTATATTTATTATACCCAGTTTAATTTCATATATTTCTTCTAAAAATAAAACAATTTCTATCATTTTCACGACAATACATTAAATTGTACCTTAATGTTTTTCTCTTCCATTGACTTATGGATGCGTTCTCTTAGTGGTTTCACCAAAGAATTATTCACTTGTATGGGAGATCTATGTCCAAATAAAGCAAAATTTTATAAACCAAAAGAGCTTTCTAAAATTTAGTTTTCACCCTCTCCTACACAAAAGCAGTTACATAATAAAAGACTACTGAATCTATATAATACTATATAAAAATATCAGTATCCCTATTCTGACAGTTCTAAATATTAATAATTTTTTTAATTCAGTCACGAGATATTTGAGCTTCTACTATATGTAAGCCACTGTATAACATCCTGTGAATAGAAAGTCTATTCATTCATTGGCCCTGAATTCAGGACTCATGAAGTCTAAGTAAAAAAAAAGACACCCACCTAACTAAAATCCAAAATGAAAAAGGCTAAGTGTCATAGCAGAGGAATTCAAAAGAGAAAAGCATAGTTTACAAGAAGAAGGGTTAGAGAAGGCACAATGGAGAAATAGATACTGGAGCTTTGGAGCCAGAGAAACCTGGATTCCCCAATAAGTTCCTGTTTGACTCCACAGCGCCAGAGACGTAACCCCTGTGACTCAAAAAACCATTATATAAGACTAAAGGATAGTTCATTCTAAGAAAGTCTAGTTTATAACCTTATATTGACTTTATATTTATACACATTGTCCTTAATTTTATCATTTCAATGGAGACCATTAAAAATTTACTTTACCATGGAGGGTACCTGTGCACACAAGGACAACGGCAGTGCCAAGGTAATTGCAAACAATTAAAATGTGTTTGGCCACATGACTGAATACAGAAAAATACCTCCCTAAAATGGATGTGGGATTAATATTGTTTTAAAATATTCTATTAACACAAAATAGTAAATGGTAGAATGAGAGAAAATTTAAATCATTTATATTTCTACCTAAAAAGTAAACCTTGTTAAACAGAAGGTAAAAGGAGAAAAAAACAAAGATTCCTTTTCTTTATACTCATTTCTGGGATTCTGACACAGGGTGAAAGCAAATCACTGATAAAATAAATTTCCACTGTTAGGAAAATATTTGGGCATTTCTAAGGTAGAATGTGAAAGAATGATATTATGCCCAACAGTAAAGAATAATCATGGGAAGCTGGTGAAGAAGACAACATTTAAAAGAATTATAGGACAAAACTGAATTATAGATCATTAACCTTTCTCTTCAAAGACAAAAGACAGTGAGGCACAGGAGAGAGATTGCATGAAGCAATCACGCATGGATGTGTATGAACAATTTTAGACTAAAATTAGATTTCTAAAAAGTAGCTCAAGCAGAAAATAGAAAAGATCAAATAATAGGATGACGTTGTAAAAATTCTCCACAATGCACTAAATACAATTTAAAATGGTTGTTCTAAAATTTTTAATGTTTCTATAAATGAACACGCATTAATTAAAAATATTATCAACTTACTGGATTTTGATCTAACTGTTGTCAAAACTGGATAGTATCAATGTCTTGCATGAAATACCAACAGTAGTTTAGTATTTTTCTTCACAATGTGAGGAAGAAACAGTAAATGTCAACTCCAATGGGAGTTTGGTGCAATGCTCTCTCTTTTTCTCAGGCAGAATAGCACAGTCCTGAGAGCAGAGACCCCAGGCTTCAGAGAAAGACACCTTTACTGCTTGCTAACTTAGCTCTCTTGGGCAAATTACTTAACATACCTCTCAAGCCTCTAATTCTTCACTTAAAAAGTGAGGATATTATTAAAAGAGGTTGCTATGAGGGCTGATATAATATAAATGAAAACATTTAGCAAAGTTCTTGACACACATAGCAAAGCAAATAAATATTTCCAAAGCAAAAAAACAAAAAATAAATAAAAGAACACCTGCCATATTCTTACAAAATACTCCTTTTTATATATAACTCACATTCAAGTGTTCAATTTCCTTTTAACTAACTTTAGTTTTCTCTAATCATACTTATCTATAATCTCCACATTTCCTACCATAGCATGCACTTGTTTTATAATCAATGAGGTGCTTTTTCAAAAACTCCTCAGAGTTAACATTCACATACATATAGCTTCCACATGACTTACCTGAAAAGTGTAAGAATAGAAGTTCCATTGTGATCAATGGTGTATTCATCGTCATATAAAAGCTCTGCTTTGTTTTTGGTAGGAACACTGGCTGCTTCTTCATCCAAAAGAACTAGTAAAAGTTTCACGGTATCTCTGCCACAGTATGCAGTGCCATGGTTTATGGCATAAGATTTTGGCTTGAACAAAAAATAATTTTAAGTAAACATTATAATCATCCCGGCTGGGTCAATCAGTCACTTTTCCATTTCATGCACCACGGTTTTCCTTCCTGCTCTGTTGTTTAATAAAAGATCATCCATAAGAAGTGGCTTTCAGGCATGATAATATTTCTCCCTCAAGCCTTACTAAAATCAATCTTATCAACTTCCAAAAGCACAAAAGAATACAAAAAATAGTATCATCAAAAAGGAAGACATTAGGTTCCGGTCAAAATAACGTTGGGCTTTTAAGTCAGAAAATTTAGCTTCTACCTTCCTATGCGACCTCCCTTAGGATTTAACTTCTCAGTATTTTTCTCTCTTATACCAAAGAGAGATGAGGTTCTGGTGATCTAAATACCAACCCCACAAATGGCTAGAAAGATCTACTGAAATGCAAAAATGAAAAACTATAGTTGATTCTCATTCATTCAGTAATCATTGATCAGTACATACTAAGACCCAAGCACTGTGTTTGAAGCTAAGACCACCAAGGTAAAAACCACTGCCACAAGGAACCCACATTCTCCTTAATAAAATAAGTAAGCAATAATTGCATTCACAGTGCTCAGTGCTATTTCTAACATAAGGTATACATGGTGCCTTGGGAGCACACAAAAGATAGTGATCAATTTACCCTGGAATCAAGAATGGCTTCATAGAGAAGGAGACACAAAGGCATAGGAGAGAGCAAGGTATTTTCAGGGATGGGGGAGTATGATATGGCTGAAGAATAGGATAATAGAGAGGGAGTTACATGACATGAGCTTAGAAAAGCTTTGTGTATCAGGCAAAGAGGTTATAAGTCAGTCTGTTAAAAATCTCTTAGTTTATTAAGCAAGGAAGTAAAACAATACTATTTAGATTTTAGAAAAATGATGGCAATGTGTAAAACATATTCCAGGGTAAGAATGTTATTAAATCTGAAGACAGAACAAATTAAGAGACTGTAATAATCCAGCTTAAAAGTGAAGAAGATAGTAGCAGAGGAGATTAAGAAAAAGCAGATTAAAAGAGGAGAGCTGGAAAAACTCAGTGACGAGATAGAAGAATAAGCAAAAATGTATGATAAAATATAATACATAAATACATGTAAGCACAGACCCTGAAGGCATTTCTGTCTGATTTTGATAACAACTTACTAGTTGTATGTGCTGTGTAAGTCTGGGAAAGTTGCTGAACCTTAATGTGCTTCAGTTAAATCACTGGTAAAACACGGGTATTTAGAGTGCCTAACCAATAGGGTTGCTGGACATTATACCTCGATATCAAAGCTGCCCTTTCTGGGACACTCCTCAGCTTTCACCAACAATGGTCTTGGCCTCCTTTCTCTACTTGGCTGACTCAGGCTCAGGTTCGGTGAGCTATAATCCACACCCATACTGGAACTTTAACCAATTATCTATCACAACCTAGTGCATAACATATATATTTTTCATTAGCACCAGATAAGTCCATATTGTTTAATATTAACCTCACGGAGGAATTATTGAATCGCATTTTTCAAAATTTCTGATTTGGTGAAAAACATACAATTAAGAACCAGGTTGTTTGCATTTTTATTTCTTGTGACTGGAAATGGGAGAGATTGATGCTCTTAATTATCTGAGTTGTGACAATTCCTGATTTATACTGATAGTAATAACCTGGCTGTCATTTGAACCAAGCCAGTCACAGGAACTGTTAATATACATGGGATATATGGAGAACAACTCAGAATCTCCCCCATCAAATTAATCTAAAAACATGCAGTTATTGAGAAATATCTAAAAATAGTCCCCAGGGTATGTGAATAAAATAAGTAATAAAAAATAAGCAAAAGTCCTTCTTCATACACTAGCTGTCACAATCACAACTAATGAAAAGGGGCTTTTGTTACTTGAATAACTAAACTGTACCACATACTCCAGAATTGTGTTTTAGAGCTAAAAGCAAGGTAGAAAATTTTTCCTATAATACCATAGTTATAATACTGCATAATGTTCATAATGTTCAAAAATCTCTGTAAAAAAAAGAGAGAGAGAGAGAGAGGTGAATGTTCTAGGAATATATAGTTAAGAGATTTCTAAGTATAGGAGAAATTCTGAATGTTCACAGTGTGCTGCAATGGAAGTAGAAAATAAGACATCACAGAAATAGAAAAATTCTGTAAAAGAAAAATAAACTACTGAATAGAAACCATTTTGTTGCTTTTCTATTAAGTGCCTCGTACTGAGGTCAGAACCAGAGAAACCAAAGGGAAAATAATTGCTTTGAAGAATAATAATTAAAAAATATGACAGAACACCTTAGTATCCATCAAGTATTATAAATTGCTAGTGCTCCAAGGGATACTGAAGATTATCCAATGCCCTACTTTAACAAATACAGTCAATTTGGTCCAAAGATGTTATGATTTACCCAACTCCAACATAATCCTACATAATCCTATTGAGAACTTAAATTGTCAACAACGTAACACAGGAAACACATTCTTCTGACTTAAGTAGCAATAGTAAACCATTTCTACAACAAATAGAAGAGGAGATGTCTTATATAGAAGGATAATAAAATATAAAAAGCTCATTACCCGTGCAGGACTGATGTCAGTGGTGCTAACAGCTAAGTCTCCTTGTTGAGAATTGAAAATATTTTTAATCCTCCAATCCAAATCCTGAGCAACCTCCTCTACTGCTTTACAAAAAGGATCCCTGCTGTTCTGGCCTTTAATCACCTGCATCTTTATCACGGAGAGTATCCGACTCCCTGCAATGCTGAAAATGGAAATAAGATTGCCTTTATAATAGTATTAGAAATGACAATGTGCGTATAAGCTTGACAATATAATTCTCAGAGTTAATCAACATACTTTTCAAAGATTATGGATTTGTTCTTAAAAATCAAACAGTAACACATTTAAGAAAAGGATGAGAACCATTAGAAGCAAAATTACAAAGTAAGTCATTTCAACAAGGTAAGTTACTTCTTTATTTGAAAACTAAAGGGAAATAATTTAGTTATATATGATGACAGATTCAGATGCAGTTATACATACACGATATACTTAAAATATGTACCTTTCGACACAACTAAGGTAACAAAAGCTACCTTTCACTGAATACCTAGAATCCTACATCACTTTAATCTTAAAACCAATTCAGTAAGTATTATTACCCTTAAATCACAGATGAGAAAATGGTGAAGTAGCTGGGCTAGGAAGGAGGTGGTGGGGAAGGAGAATGGTGGGGAAGGAGACTGACCTGGAACACGTAATATTGCACTATAGTATGAGAAGAGTGATTACATGAAATAAAGCAAACCAGAGACTCAACCAACTACGGCCCACAGGTAAGGTTTTATAAAACCTCCTGAATCCAGGTTTCTTTATACTAAGCCTGAACCTGAGTAAATTTGGGTTGCAGTTCCTGCTCTAGATAACAGACCTAAAACCAATGTGGGAAACGTATAGAGGGAAGGATTTGGGTCCATTACAAGAAAGAAATTATCGGTGTCAACAACAGAAGGGGGCTTTTTTTGAGGTCAGGAGATCTCCATCCCGGGTGGACAGGCTGCACTGTGCCAGTTGAGAAGGGGGTGTGGTCTGAGTGTGGAGTCAGACTACCTGAGCACAAATCGCAGCTCCCTCACTTTCTATCTTGAGTAAGCTGTTTAATCTCTCCGTGAAGTTTATAGTGCCAGAAAGGAAATTAGGAATTAAAGTTTTCATCCTCACTGCCTCATTGCCAGACTTTATGTTTTAGGAACAAGCCAGGTTCCGTAACGATCATTGGAAATATAATTGTTCACATTTAAATAGATGGTCCAAGTAGAAAAGGGTAGTTAGGAAAAAACTGCAGAGACTTAATATGCAATAGTACATTAGACCAGTGTCTCCCAAATTTGCCTGATCATCTAAAGCAGCGGTTCTCAACCTGTGGGTCGCGACCCCTTTGGGAGTCAAACAACACTTTCACAGGGGTTGCCTAAATACATCCTGCATATCAGATATTTACATTACAATTCATAGCAGTAGCAAAATTACAGATATGAAGTAGCAACGAAAATAATTTTATGGTTGGGGGTCACCACAACATGAGGAACTGTATTAAAGGGTCTCGGCATTAGGAAGGTTGAGAACACTGATCTAAAGCAAACCAGAGACTGGACCAACTATGGCCAAAAACCTGAACTCAACTGTTTCTTTATACTAAGCCTGAACCTGAATAAATTTGGGTTGCAGTTCCCCCAAACCTCCAAGTACCACCCACTCTCCCCCCATCCAAAAAAAGGAAAAATATTCAGCATTAGTTTAAAAGATTAATTCCAGATCCTGGCCTATTGAATCACACTCTCCAGAGAAGGACTTAAATAGTTGCATTATTGTAAAAGTACCACAGGTGATTCTTATGACTAGACAAGCTTGGGAAACATTTTATGAAAAAATTAGCTCCTTGAGAAAGGAACCGTATTATTTTTTATCCTCGTCCAAAGATTTTTATTGATTTTAGAGCGAGGGGGTGGGGGAGAGAAGGAGAAATATCCATGTGAAAAGGAAACATCGATCCATGCCCTTGACCAGAATCGAACCTGGGACCCTTCAGTCTGCAGGCCGACGCTCTGTCCACTGAGCCAAACTGGCTAGGGCTCTTTGACGCTACTTTTTAACATTTTCTATTTGGTGATGGTGTAAGAAATAAAATATGAAAGATTGGTATTTGTTTAATAACCTTGTGCCCAGAAACACTGTGATAAACTCTACTATTAATTTTAATCATTTTTCTTCTGATTCTTGGAGTTTTCTACATATATAATCATATCATCAATTAGAGTTTTACTTGTTCCTTTTCAATTGTTTTATCTCATTTTTCTTGCCTTACTATAGTGAAATGGACACCTAATACTATGTTAAAAAAATTATGAGAGCAAGAACTCATTCTAAATCTTAAATATAATGCTAAAATATTTTACCATCAAGTAGGTTTTCACAGAAACCCTTTATCAGGTTAAAACCCTTAGTCTTAATTCATTTTACACTGAAGGGGTAGCCGTGAAGGATGGGTATGTCCTAAGATGCTCCTCACCTTGGGAAGTCCTTCGACTTTGTCTCTGTCCCGCAGACACTGGTGGCTATAAGAACAGACTCCAAATCCCAAATTCAGCAAATAGTCTCAAAATAAAAGCTGGCTTCCCTTTTTGACTTCCTTTCTGGCTTTCTTCCTTCCTCAAGTTTTTGTCTGCATTTTCATTGAAATTGCCTGCTCATCAATGTATTTTGAGAAGCATTTAAAAAATATGTTATCCAGCATTATTAATTACTGTGAAAGGAAGGGTCAATCAGCCGACCTAGTCTGCCATACAACCGTAATCAGTAGACTCTAGGAATTATTTTAAGCATGTAGGCACTTTCTTTTTCAGCTAATTTTTTCTTAATTTTCAATTAAAAGCACAGACATAACTGGATGAAATATAGCCAAAATGAATACACAATTAACATTATGTGCTTTTTCTGGGAATTAATCTCTAATGGAAACGTTTTGGAAAAGATTCAAAAGGGTAATAAAATATAAACGATTGTCTTAGTCAATTATAAGAACAACAACAAAAAAACACCACACCAAAAAACAAAGCTTAGGTAAAGTCACCTTTGCCTCCCTTTTCTCATTCTTTTCACAAGAACAAATATGCTAAATTTTAAAAATAATATAATTCACTGATTGTATTTTATTTAGAAAAAAATATATATATATTTTAGACCTGTATCTAAGATACTTGTCAAAGTCAATATTTTGACCCCAGGCAAAATACACCAAGCACCAGTGTCATGCCTAGTCTGTTGCTATGCATTCACTATGCACTAGCCAACCATTAACTCTTCAAATATCTGCTCAACAACACAGAGGCTTATTATTTCAAACACTTACTTCTAAAGCTTAGAAACTCCTGAAGTTTTAACTCAAATGACATCAGGACAATTGTGTTAGGCACTAGAAATACAAAATGAATAAAACCTTTCTCTTTAAAAGGTCAAAATTGATTATACGATAGGAGATACTAAAGGAATAGAGAAAGTTTGAGTGAGAAGGGCAGAGAACAAGGAAGTATTCAGGAAGGCTTCCCAGAAGACACATTATGACTATGCTGGATAAACATTAATAGAATTTAGGTGAGAAAGGTAAACTGTAGCTCCTGACTATTAAATGCATCACATCAAAGCCCTGGAGCAGAAAGAGAAAAAAAATGAAGCTAGTGAAGAAAAACACATTAAACCCCAAGCTTGTATCAAAACATAGTGACTGAAGGAGAGCAATAAGCAATAATAAAGACAAATGATTGGTAGGCAATACTTTAATGTAATTGCCAACTCTCTACCATAAAGAGTGATTGATTGGCTTTTCCTCACCATCTTCATGAATTTGGTAACTATTTACTAAAATAAATTATATCTCCAGCCCTGGCCAGGTGGCTTGGTTGGTTGAAGCATCATCCCATACACCACAAGGTTGAGGGTTGGATTCCCAGTCAGGGCATATACCTAGGTTGGAGGGGTTTTATCCAATCAGTGTTTCTCTCACATAGATGTTTCTCTCTTTCTTCCTTCCTCTCTCTCCAAAATCAATAAATACATATCCTCGGGTGAGATTTTTAAAAAATCTATAACAATCCTATATAATAAAAAGCTAATATGCAAATCGACCGAACGGCGGAATGACCGGTCACTATGACACGCACTGACCACCAGGGGGCAGATGCTCAACGCAGGAGCTGACCCCTGGTGGTCAGTGTGCTTCCACAGGGGGAGCGCCACACAGTTAGAAGCCAGGATCATGGCTGGTGAGCACAACAGCGGTGGTGGGAGCCTCTCCCACCTCCGTGACAGAGCTAAGGGGAGCGGGCCTAAGCCATCAGTCAGACATCCCCCCCGAAGGCTCCCGGACTGCAAGAGGGCACAGGCCGGGCTGAGGGGACGCCCCCTCCCCTGCCCCGAGTGCACTAATTTCATGCACCGGGCCTCTAGTTAAATATAATTAAAGGTGCTACATAAAATGTATCAAAATGCTTCCAAAATATATTTAAATGAAATTCTGAACTGGAAAATTTAAACCAGATTTAATATTCTATAAATGCATAACATTTAGTCCAATATATATAACTCAGATGTGCCATTGAAGATTTTTTGTGTGATAAACTTGAAATACAGAGTTTTAAACATCTGAACAACTATTTTAAACATTTGAACTATGAAACCTGAAACCTCTTTTTTTCAGGTGAAAGTACAGTATGCATTTTATGGTGGCACCTACTGGCAAAGGGCAGAAATGCAGCCAAACTATAGCCAAGATGGCCAAATGAAAATCTGGCAGTGGGGAGATAAGTGTGAGAATGGATTCTTGGATTTCTTCCCTGTCAGCCTATTTATTCCCCATCATGTTTTGGACTCAAAGATTATTGTGATTCCCTATCACCACCACCCTATTATAAGACAAGTAGTACAAACTTATCCTCAGTTACAAGAATTAAATACATTTTTATCTCTAAGTTTTAACATTGAGACACAGAGTGATATGCAGGCAGGAGTTAAAGTGCATAGAATTTATATACCATACTGAGGTTTCTGGAGTTTTATCCTCATTTGCAATCTTTAAAGGGTTTTAATCGTGGAAGTAGCATTTGCTGTTTCAGAAAGATCTTTGGCAGCAGTGAGGACACCAGGATAGGGCAACTCAAGATTGGAGGTAGAATGAACAAGTCAGAAATAAGGGAAAAAATCCAGGCAAGAAAGAATGAAAATCTGAAAACGGGCAGTATAAACAATGTAATTAAGGTAGTAGCTACAGAAAGAACATAAAAAAAATGTTAATTAAGAAGCATTGATGGATCTTGGTGACTGAAGGGATAGAGAAAGGAGAAAAAAAGTTTAAGACAAGTTTCAGGTTTCTGCTTGGGTGACGGGAGGGAGAGAGGCTTCATCAAGTCAGGAGAAGCAGGTGTTCAAGGAAAGATGATTTAATCTGGAACATGTTAAATTTGACTTGCCTTTGAGGTAACAAACCCATATATAAATAAAGATATATCTTTGAATTTCAGGAAAGAGGTTTGAATTTCACTGAAATATAGACTTAGAATGGGGAAAAGAGAGAAAATGATCCAATTTGAGGACTCAAAAGACCAAAGATTACGATAACTTGAAGGATGAAGGAAGAGAAGTGTGTGTGTGTGTGTGTGTGTGTGTGTGTGTGTGTGTGTGTCTGGTGGGAAGGAGTGCTGGGAAGTTGGTGAGTGGGTTGCAAATTCTTATCCTCCAGGATAGGAAGTTAATACATAACGTCTAAACTGAAAAATCAAAAATAGCTGCATTAAAATGTCATTTAAATTAGTAAATATAAAACAGACACACACACACAAAAATTGGATGTTTACAAGTCTGTATTATCTGACTTTACCATAATATACATATATTGCTTTGCTTAAAATAAAATATTTTTTAAAATTATCTGCTAACTCAGAAGAAATGATCAGCCACACATTATCTGGGAGTTCAGATGATGTCACTGATATTGACTGCAAGTCATATCAAAAGCCTCTTCTAAATTTACTTCCTTGTAATGGATAGCCATATAAAAAGAGAAAAGGATGCAATTCAGAATAAAATCATAAAAAAACAATTCTTCCCAGAATCTTGAATTGGAAAGAAGTTTCCTGGAATAAGATACAGTGTTAAGGGAATGGTTCCAGAGTCAGACCTGGCTAAGTTCAGATCCCAGTTCGGCTAATTGATAATGTAATTAGGGTAAATTACTTAATCCCAGTGTTTCAGTTTTGTCCTCTCTAAATTGGGTACCTATATGGTATCTACCATGGAAAGTTGTTGTAGTAATCAAATGATAATCCCCATAAAGAGCTCAGTACAATGTCTAACACATAATCAATATTCAATAAATACCAGCTATTTTATTAGTACTATGCAATGGCATAACAACTAAATTGACAGTGAAGTACCACAATTGCTAGCATAAACAATTCACCTCTGCCTCACCCAAATTAATCTAAAAATTACACACTATCCAATACATCTATAAATGAATCTTAAAGATTATAAACATAATCTCTCATTTCCAATATCACAAAAACAGAAATTTCAGATGAATCAAAAACTTATGCAAAAAAAAAACTAACAGAAAATAGAATAGATAATTCATATCTCTTCATGAATTTTCTTATTCATTCTTGATATGGGATTCCTTTATTGCTAAATTAAAAGTTGAGCCTGGCTGGCGTGGCTCAGTGGTTGAGCATCGATCTATGAACATGGTTGGATTCCAAGTCAGGGCACATGCCCAGGTTGTGAGCTCAATCCTCAGTGGGGGGCGTGCAGGAGGCAGCCAATCAATGATTCTCTCTCATCATTGATGTTTCTATCTCTCTCCCTCTCCCTTCCTTCTCTGAAATCAATAAAAAAAAATTTTTTTAAAGAAATTTTGAAAAGAATTATCTATTAGGTTTTTTCCCAGGCCTCAAAAATCTGTTTCTTTCAGATAAAGACAAATGGTAAACACTCTTCTCTAAACAAATTTAATTTAAACATGTCTTTTGACTTTGGCAAAAATTTTGTAATCATAGAGAAACAAATTTTAGCGAGAAAGGTCACATGATTATATTTTATTCATCTAGATATTTATTCTCCTCCCTACTGTTTGGTCTGATGATTGACCATTTCAATAGCTCTTATATTTCTACCTCTGATTCTATGAAGTTTTAAAGATAGAGTAATAACACACATTAGTAATTTATAAAAAAAATCATTACCTTGGGTTTGCTATTTCTCCAAGAATCTCATCTAATTTGTCAATGAAATTAATAAAACTAGACAATCCTTTCACATGTGTCCTTAAAGGATCAGAAGGTGATGGTGCATATCCTTTCCCTCCAAGCTCCATTGTTCTAATAAATGATGTGGCCACCTATGAATTAAGACAAGTGATTGTTATGTTTAATGATTAATAAGTTAAAACAGCAATTTACTTTATGAAGCTGGGTATATTTACATGATTCTGGTTATACAAGTGAAGCGCTTTTGTGACTCATACCACACAGTGATTCAGAAGCAAGTAATCAAAGAAACAGGTGCCATGCAGAATTCATGCCAGCAAAGGTTAGGGGACAAATTAAGTATGTTAATAAGAGTATATCATTGATTATAAATAATTGGTTTATGAATATGTTGTTATATAGGCTGACTACTGGCTACTGGAATTGTTGCACAGGACAAAGGCGTTTTCAGTGTCCACTATGTTGATTGGGCAATTAATTCAACTCTTTCAAGCTATAACTTCTGGATATGCAAAATAAAGATTTAGACTAGATAATCACTAAGTCCTATCTAGTTTCATATCCTAGGATTATTTGATCATGAGTAGTTCAAAAGGCCTTGCCTTTACAATGATAAATATACACATATGATGACTAAACATAAAAGCATCCCTGACAAAACAATATTCTAAAGCAGTATTTTCCAGAGTGTTCCCTTAGAAAGACAAATTCTATGAAATTTCAATAATCTGAGTAAAAGTCCAACAGTAAAATAACTTAGAAAACAACAAATTAAATAACAAGGTTAACTGAAAATTTCTTTATGGCGGGACTTCCCAAAGGTTTTTAAATACAAACATGAATTTATGTATATCCAATAAAAGACATATACTATTTCCAAACGGTTTGCTCTTGGAAACGTTAATTCAAAAAGCATGTAACAGGGACATTCTGCCTTTGGCTAGCACTCTAAAGAATACATGTAGGAAAACACCGTCTAGAGAAAATCTCCTTGCCAAATTGGAAAGATATGACAAAAACATAAAAACACTATGGATTTTCAAAAACACCTCAAGGTAGGACATAAAGTAACAATTTAAAAGTTATTTTATCACAGTTACAAGAATTCTACATCAAGGTACACGATCCACTGTTCAAAGAGTCTTTATTTTAAAAATCCTGAAAATGGAACATATCCATACCAAAAAGATAGACATCTGTTTCTCTCGAGCAGCATGTTTCAAATCAGTGAAGGCTTCTCTTCCAAGTCCTCTATCAGGAATATTGAGAATATGAGCCAGAGCCAGGTCATTCTTTGAATTCACTAGCAGATTCAAATATGAGTAGATAATTTTCTTTGCCAGTAACTTCGCCTACACAATAAAATAGTATTTTCTTTATTGAAGTTGTTCTAAATCCATAAATTTTTTATATGTAGTAAAAATACTTACGATCATTCAATGACAATATCTCACTCAGATCTTTGGGAAAAAGAATTGTCAAATAAACTGAAAGTTTGGGTTGGACAATTAATATATCTTTGCTCATAAAAACAACTTGCTGCAATGAAAAGCTGTGAGTAAATACCAACTATCATAATTATTGGAAAATGGGTGTTAGAAAATGGTATGTAAGATACAGCCCCAAAATCTGCATTTCTGATGAGACCTGATCTCATTCCCCCACATATATTTGCCACTATACAATAGCCAATAATGAAGCCTCCTGTAGCCTAGGCCGTGGTCGGCAAACTGCGGCTCGCGAGCCACATGCGGCTCTTTGGCCCCTTGAGTGTGGCTCTTCCTAAGCCTTAGGAATACCCTAATTAAGTTAATAACAATGTACCTACCTATATAGTTTAAGTTTAAAAACTTTGGTTCTCTAAAGAAATTTCAATCGTTGTACTGTTGATATGTGGCTCTGTTGACTAATGAGTTTGCCGACCACTGGTAGGGCATGCATCAACTGGCACTATTTGGTTCTATGTCCTTTTCAGGGCTAGATATAAGGGCTAAAATTATATGGTTAAACTTTTGGAGAATTATTAAGATATTGATTTATACAATACCAAATAAGTATTAAAATGAAAAGATTCAACCAAATGATAAGCAAATAATAACGAATAGTTGATGTCGATGTAAACTGGCCAAAACAAAGCTATAGAGTCTAGTACATTCAAGCACAAGATGCATTATTTTTGAGAGCACTTGATATGGGCATCATTTCTTTCATATTTCTTCACAGTCAAATGATAAAACAAGGCATAAAGAGAGTTAAAGAGGTAGCAATAAAAAATTACAAATTGTTAGGAAGTCTCTTAGATAATTATTACGGACGTCTCAAGTTCATACGCATCTTAAAAGTACTTTTAAAAATAGCACCCTTTTGAATTATTTAAATTTCATGTGAAAAACAATTCTTGAAACATGGGAGGCAGTCAGAGTCAATTTTTTAAAAACCTCATCAGACAGGATAAGATTACTTTAAATATGGACTTAAAATATAATTTAAGCAAAACTGATTTTTAAAAAATAAGGCTATTAACTCTATAAAACTTTTTTCTTAAATATTAAAGATACAGCACATTTATTACCTTTGAAGAGACACTCCCTAATTTCCCAAGATAAAGTAACCAGCCATTCACATATTCCCTTACCACCCTGTTATAATTCTGCATATTAGTCAATTATATAATTCTCTGCAAGATCTTAATACTTTCTGACACTTTATTTTCTTAATATTTCTACTACTTTATGAGGTCCATGAGAGCAAATGATGTATCCTTAAGGTACAAAAGAATGATTGGCATTATATTAGGAAATCAATGCATTTTTGTTAATAGGTTCTTAGTAAGTTTTTGTTCAATGATGAAAGAGAAATTATTACATGTATTTGGCCCTTTTAGATAATTCAAAATTGAAACTATGGATAAAAACTTCTGTGGAATCAAATAAGTGTTCATATGTTTTTATTGCATCGCCTTAAAAAGAAAAGTTCTTTGTAAGTACAATTAAATTAAGATCATCTTTAAGATCTGTCATAAAGTTTTATAAACTAAGGCATAACAGTTTTCTGCTTATATTTCAAAGGGCCTTTTATCTTTACTTTCATAGAAAATCACAACACTTCATGTGAATCTATAATACAGAAATTTCTATTTTAACTTCACAGTGCAACAGTGTGTCTAAAATATATATCTTCTTTATCCCTTTGACATTGGAAAGAGGAACACAATTTGGCAAAAATCAAGGCAGAGAAAACAGTGATATTCACATTGTAGTCAGAAACTTTTTTACTTTTCCCACATTTAATTTTGTAAAACTACAATTTAGTTTCACTGTGCTTCTACTGTGCCAAAATAATGAGGATTTACCAATATGTATATATCTAGTCCTCACTGGGTACAAATCCAGGTCTTAGATTGGCACATCTACAGCTTGTTCTTTAAGTCTAGCAAATTTTGTCCTTCTGATGCTAGGCAAACATCAGGAGGAAACATCTTGGCGTCCTCACAGTTAGAGTATTTCTTTTAACTCACAGATGTAATTAGAAATCTGTCCCTACCATTATGGTCAGATAACATGGCAGTTATGGTTTCCCTACTCTTGTATTTGCAAGTGGGTTTTAAAGAGGCTCTCTGGAAAAGCACTCCACATAAATACAGCTATGATGTCCAGGAGCAAGGGCCTAAATTGAAAAAATCCACAAGATTGAAGCTTTTACCAAGACACTGAAAATAAAGATAAACTGATTCAATCCATACCACAAAGTATTTTTGCAATGTTTGTTTAGAAGTTGAACAATTTTAAGCTTTCAGAAAATTCCAAGTTCCTTTTCCCATCCCTTAATTATTACTGAAGTGCAGATATTCAATCTCAATTTGAAGTCAGTTTTTCTAAATTAAGAAGATTAACATTTATACAGGTATTTTTTACTTTCTTCGCCAACATATCACATTTAATGACACACAAAAAATGTGGACTTAAGCTAATATACTGGTAAAAATGTTTAATTGATTACTTTTTGGGGGGCCTTTATTGTATTTTTCCCTCATTACTTCATAATTTCTAAAGCAATAGTTTAGTACCATAAGGAAAATAAAATGAAGTAAAATAAAAGAATGAAACAAAAACATTGTTTCTCAAATTCATTCCATTCATCTATTCGAGGACTCGTGTGTGGTATTAGTAAGCATATTTGGTGATAAAAATAAATCTTTGCAAGACTGAAGCCCAAAACGTTACTTTGGAATTTTAAAAGAAATATATTGCCTTCCAAAAATACTTTGTAAAAAGAAAAATTAGAAGTCTGCAAGGAACAGAAAAATGGCTTAGAGGATGGCTGCTACTTTAATAGTCTTCATAAAATCTAATCCATCAGCTAACTAGCAGATAAAATTCTCCTGAAAAATACAAGCCAAGGAGACAAAAAATATAAAGTAGAGGATTAATACAGGGTAACTATCATGCTTTTTAAATGAGGAAACTATATGCTTATAACAAAGATCCATTGGTTTCTATAAACTAAGAGCCTTTTTCATGGGTATACCTTTAAGATAATGTTTTATATCTGTAAACCAAAACTCCTAGCTTAGGTCATTTTACATGTACAAATTAATTCATTCCTTTTAATTAAAAGGCACAATAACAATTATTGTTTCCGCCCTGTAGAACTTGTAAGATAGATCAAAAAGAACACGTCTGTAATGATTTACCCTCTTGATGTATGAATGTACTCCATAAGTACCACTGAGAAAAAAACCAGGTAATTTAGTAAGTGTTTTGTCACGATTTAGAGCAGGAGAAAAAAACAAGCAGGATGTAAGTGAAACATTAATGTCAAGCAAGAGAAAATAGTTATAAATCACTAAAAGGAATCACAACTCTTAGCAGAAAACATTCAAAGGTGGACTTGGGATATTTTCTTGTACCAAAAAGGGTAAGTGCTCAAGAGTTTAAAAGAGCATGTAAAAAAATACAGAAGGCAGCTTGAAGGGGATCTCTCTACTTTTGCATCAAAGATTAATGACTCTAATTAATTTTAACTCCAAATAAATAAAATTCCATGAGTCCTTAGAATATATACACAAATAAAAAAGGAGGAAGATACATAGAAAAAATATCTAATTTGCCTCCTATACTACCTGTAACTATTACACCAACTCTTAAACTGGTAATTAAAGAGAAAGAATTAAGTAGTGACCCTGCCATTTTTAGGGAACTGAACTTCAACCCAGTTGATAAGATAAAGTTCTTTATTGAGAAATGGCAGCTAATTAATGTAAAGACATGCTAGTGTAAGAAACTCACCATTCTATAAATTCTAAAGAAATAATTGACTTAGACAAGACTGGACAATTCAAGACAACTGGAGTTTGCGTCTCCTAATATGATACAAAATGAAATATTCAGCATCAGTTATAAAGTATTTGTTAAGAAATGTTAAACCTCAATCTAAGAAAGCTTTTAGGTGTAACTTCCAGTTTATTGGAAATAGAGAAACAAGTAAAATAATACCAATAGGAGTTAATCAGATAAATAAGAAGTAAAAAAAAAAGACTGGGGGAATTCTTCTAGGTTAAGAGTATAAAGAAACATAAAACCCACTTAGGGGACAAATAGAAAAATGAGAATAGAGAAGATAGCATATTATATCAAGGAATACTTAAGTTTTCTTACATATGATAATAATATTGTGGTTATCCCCTTATTTTCAGGAAATAATATGCTGAAAACATTTAGGTACTAAGTATGAGGATATCAGCAACTTACCTTTCATACAGTTAAGTTGGGCCAAGGTAACAGGTTTAATTATATTAAACCAAACCTGTACTTTGCACTACTTTCCTGTGATGTGTTTGCATAACAAACCCTGCTATCAGAACTCATGATGCATCAGTTATTCTACTGCAAAGGGTGCAGAACAGATTTTCCCAAGAAGCAACAATACTGTTTCCGAACAAAACAGTAATGTGAAGTTTACCAAATACAGTCAGCTCTCAGTGGCCACAGGTTCCACATCTGTGGATTCAACCAACCACAGATGGAAAATAGTTGAAATTTTTAAAAGGTTATATTGTTGCTGACATATACTATGAGGCCTATGATGACTGCATCTGCACTGAATGTATTCGGATTTTTTTCTTGTCTTTCTTCCCTAAACAACACAGTATAACAACTATTTACATAGCATTTACATTGTATTGGGGATTAAAAGTAATCTGGAGATGACTTAAAGTATATAGGAGAATGTGTGTGGGTTATCTGCAAATACTACATACATTATTTTATATAAGAGACTTAAGCATCTGTGGATTTTGGTGTCCAAGGGGAGTCCTGGAACCAATCCCCCACAGTGACCAAGAGACACCATATAAAGATTCAAAGAAATCTGGCAATCTGGATCTTCAACCATTTTTCTGATACTTAGAGTGATACCTATTTTTGTACAGTGCCTGTTACATTGGCCCAAAACCATGAAATAACTTATTGTTATGATCTCACCAGTCTTCAATGTATTACTCTTTGCGAACAGTACTATGTAAACAAAATAAAACTTTAAAAAAAAAATAGTAACTGTATGTATAGTCAAATTCATAGTGATTTGAAGGGATCATATCCTGCTTTAATTTACTCACAATTTATCAGTACCTTTTCATTATCCTGTTTGTGTTTACTCATTGGTGATGTCGGTACAGAAAGACCAGTTTCATCATCTACTGTGGACTGTCTGCCACACAGAAAATCCCGTAGTTGACTCTGTAGGAAATACAGGACATTACTAATAAAATGATATGCCAACTATAAAAAAAATTTCACACCTAGGACTACCCAGTGTCACTGATGTTCTAGTATACAACATTTTACCTAACCTTTGTTGGCAGTCAACAATATGTAGACATGGAATTACACTTCCGAACAAAAGGCTTCCATTACTTTCCAGTTTAGAGTTAAAAGATGACCTTGGAAATTTGATCTTAGTCTTTTATTTTTTATGGAAAAAAATTAAAAAGAAAGAAAAGTCTTGTTTCTCTCTTTCCCTTTCTTTCTCTCTCTCAAATCAATCAATCAATCAAAAGAAATCATGCATTTGGGACTGATTTCTTTATTAAAATTTTTCTCTGTAATAAGAAGCTATTCTTACATTTAAACCAAATGATAATAACCCAAGTTCAACAAAGTTTACCACCAAAACCTTTTTTCCAAGTAATGACTAGCTAACTTTCAGGTAGCAAAAGTCTCCATTTTTAACATGATCCAAAAAGCAAAAGCATTATCAAGTTACTATAAATGCTAATACCAGAATTAAAATAAACCTTGTCAAATTTTAATTTGATTAGTCTAGAATTGCTTAAAAAATACTTACAGGAGATATGTTGGCATTATTTTCACCATTAGAAGTCAAAGCACTACATTTTTTATAAACATCAATCAGATCTAACATATTACTATTTTTTAAGAAATTATCGTAAGTCCTCCTAATGTCCTCATAATGGTCAATCACTTCCATATTTTCAACTGGTAAGTTCAATTTCTCCTGTAGTAAGCGTTTCCAGGTCAGTAAGACATCGCTGAGAGAAACTGTAAATTCTCCACTGTGCTGAAAAAGATAATGTCAAAAATAAAAAGATAAAGTCGGTTGAATTTTGTATTAAATTCTTGTGAAATTGAAGAGAACATCCAAGTTGACTTATGAAATCATTTTAAAACCAGATATTAAAAAAGGATTTTTATGACTTTATAAAATATGAACTATGGGAAATTATCACATGACAAAACTGGCAAATATAAAGACATTTTCTATTACCTGAACTTCACTAAATTTCTACTCAAAGTGGGGCGATAGGAGGGCAGTGAACTGTAGCTAAGTACTATTGATTAGGGAAATATTCGATTCTGTTAATATTTGTTCCTATTCATTCTTTTAGCTAATATATTTTTAATCTCTTATTTAAAAACTATCAATGTCATAGTGAATTCCCACATACCACATATACCACACACTATTCCAAGAGTTAATCTTAAAATATGATCAGAAAAATTAAATTTTTAAAAACTGTGTTTCATTTCATTATTCTTGTAGAGAAAACAAAACACCAGTGCTAAAACTTTGGGTCAAAGGAGGATTTTTATTCTTCCCTATTCAGGGACACACTAAACTATAGGCAAATGAGTCAGGTTTCTTTCTCTAAGCTGTCAGATGTTACTTATTAAGCAAAATTGTTCAAAATTGGGCATATTGAAGGTTTTTTTTTTCAATTGATTACATTCTGCTCCCACTTTATACCCCCAGTATTAATAAAGGTGTCCTCCACAAAATACCAACTCCAATTCAGTAAAAAAATTCTAACTGCTCCTCTTCAATGCTTCATGAATAAGAAATATTTATAAGCATCCCTATGTGGTTTTGTGAAATGTATCAATGTTGCTGTCTTCTACAGTTAAGCTCCATTAATATATTAGTAGTTTCTGCTAACAACTAGATCTTTCCATTAATTGCATGTTAAGATGGGTGGATATTTAAATAGAACTATAATTTACTGGAACTAAATTATAACATCATATTTAGCCAATGAAGAATAACAGAAAGAAATCAAATAGAATCATATGATGTAGTACTATGTCTAAATATCTGACTCTTTCAAATATCTATCTTTATATGTTTTATAAAGATCAGTCACATTTTCCAATTACTATCCAAATTTAAGACAAAGTGTACAACCTGCCTTAAAATAATTAACTGTCTACTCATCCATATGAAAGCAATTAAGAAAATCATCCTTACTGTCCTTAGAGTAGGGACCTATTATATCATAGTTATGAAAATTAATTATATTTCATGAAATGAGTTCCATGAACAAACAAAAAGATCAACTCTCAAACCATAGATCCATAATCCAAACATTGAATCAAAAATTGTATACTTTACTCCCCAACCCTACAAAGGTTATATATTATTAAATCTCCAAATGGTATTTAAGTTAAATAAATCCATTTAGTTAGTTTAAAACTAAATTGTTTTATCTTAAAAATTCTTAAAACTATTTTGGCATAACGTCCTTCATGGTAAAAATAAATTAAGTTTTTGCTTTAATGTAAATATGTAATTTATTCTCATTCTGTTGACTGTAACAAAAGGAAAACTATGCAAACTCTTGATCTTCTGAGAAAAGGCTCTGACTAGATTAAGTGTTTATACTGAGATTGTAAAAACATTTTAAATCCAAATAAAATTGCACTCCAGATATCAGTTTTCAGGATCAGGTGCCCACCATGACAGGATATTCTATTTTTCAAACGAGTAACAACTGATTGAGAGAGAGTCTGTGGTCAAATCAGAAAATGTTTTGCTAGGAAAACATGCCAACTGGCTACTATTTGAAGGAAGTTCAAAATGTTCAATGCTTTGATGGACAACCAAAGGATTATATTTCACAAGAATAAAACGAGAAAAAGCAAGAGTTACACTTTTTCAGAGCACTTGTACTTTGTATATTTTATCAAAGTTATTTATTATTCAAAATTTTAAATAAATTTCACATTTTAAACTAGCTGGAATTTTTATTATCTAAAGAGTAAAGATAGCAGGTCTACTTAAGAGCATTAATTGGTGCCCAGCTGGCATGGTGGCTCAGTGGTTGAACATTGACCTATGAAAGAGGAGGTCATGGTTCGATTCCTGGTCAGGGCACGTGTGCAGGTTGCAGACTTGATCCCCAGTGGGGGGCACACAGTAGGCAGCCAATCAGTGATTCTCTCTCATCATTTATGTTTCTATCTCTCCCTCCCACTCCCTTCCTTGCTGTGTGAACTTGGGCAAGATACCGAAATCCCTCTGAGTCAATTTCCTTGGTTATAAAATGAGATTGTACAGATTAAATAACACCTTATAAATGGTAGGTAATCAAAAATGGCAGTCGCCCTTCTCTTTTTATCAAGTAAAATAACTGTCAGTTTGTTTGCTGGGGGAGGAGTGGTAGATAATTATAATTCAACTAGAGGCCCAGTGCACAAAATTTGTGCACTTGGGGGGGGGATGGTGTCCCACAGACCAGCCTGCGCCCTCTTGCAGTCCGGAAGCCCTTGGGGAGTGGGCCTAAGCCAGCAGTAGGACATCCTTAGCACTGCTGCAGAGGCAGGAGAGCTCCCACCACTGCCACTGAGCTCACCAGCTGTGAGCCTGGCTTCTGGCTGAGCAGCGCTCCCCCTGTGGGAGCACACTGACCACCAGGGGGCAGCTCCTGCGTTGAGTGTCTGCCTCTTAGTAGTCAGTGCATATCATAGCAACTGGTCAACCAGTTGACTGTCTAGCCCCTGGTGGTCAGTGCATGTCATAGCAACTGGTCGACCACTCGACTATCTGCCCCCTGGTGGTCAGTGCAGGTCATAGAGAGCAGTTGAACGGCCTTAGCATATCATTAGCATATTACTATGCTATTGATTGGTTGAACGGACAACCGGATGACTGGACACTTATTATATAGGATTTTAAATTCTGTTTCTTCTTGTTATGTCTCTGTTAGGTCATTTTCAAATCTGTCCGTCAACCACAGGTGCTGTGGTGGCTTTCCACGAGGTTATAAGTTAATATCTTTGTCTGTTTCATTCAATAGAACACTTGTAATGTTCTTAAGCTTTTTTAAGGTGAAAAACAGCCTTTATAATGTAATTGCATGACAGCGTCAAACTATGAGGCCAATTCCAAAGACAGTAAAGGCTAAAATATTATTTGCAACATAATGAAGTTATATATATTTGTCACATAATGAAGTCAATAGTGAATGAATCTAAAACAGGTAAATCATTAGCAGTATAAAACTACTAGAGAGGTATTACATGATTTAAGCTAAAAAAATCTTGCTCCTCTAAAAACATGTCAAAAACCTAACACTCAAAGATTATTTTAATATACCTTTTCTTTTTCCCCACTAAAGCCGTTAAGAAAACAAACATGCCAATAGACAGACTAACAATTCTGCTAGGTATTCAAAAGTTTTACTGCAGTCAAATTCAGTTATAAGGATTATACTTTAGGGACTCAAGCTTCAGAGAATTAAAAACCATAAGTAGACCACAAACACCAGGTGAAAAATAGTTGAAGGATATATACAACCAACTCCACCCTGTTATTACTGTATGCTACTTATGAATGCACCTGCAGGCATAGGTGTGTGTTGTTTCATTCTGGGTGCCTTGGAAGTCTGAGCACAGTGAGGAATGCCTACGCTAAGTCTGTACATAGAGAGTTAAGTTAAACAGAACTGCAACCACCATCTCCACACGTATGCACACCTACACAATCTGTGAAAAACTCAGTTGCAATTCACCACTCACCCTTTTCCCACCCAGAGTCTGAACTTTCACAGGTAATAAAGTGAATTAGCAAGTAGAACATTAGCAAGTAGGAAAAAAACCCGAGTGAATGCTACACAGACAAGTCCTGAAGAAAGACTGACTTGGATTGGATATATGTCCAAATTTTTACAATGAGAACTAAAATTTTTTCAGGCTGCATTTTATTTAACTTGTTGATATATCTATTTCTCATTTATACACAAACAAACAAACAATAGGAGGTGATTTGAACATGCTCTGTATGCTCTGTTTGATTCCAGAACAACAGTTCTCAATCACTAAATAGCAATTCCTAATAATTGTCTCAATTTCTCTCTCTCCTCATTTCCCAGTGTATGGTCACCAAGGTTTAACCGTCAGCTAGCCCATTCCATGTACACAATATCCTCAGAATCTATTATCCACCTTAAAACAACTTCTTCAGATTATAAAAGAAGGACAATGCAAATCAAAACAACAATGAGATACCATCTCACACCTGTCAGAATGACTATCATCAACAAACGACAAGTGCTGGCCAGGATACGGAGAAAAAGGAACCCTCGTGCACTGCTGGTGGGAATGCAGACTGGTGCAGCCATTGTGGAAAACAGTGTGGAGTTTCCTCAAAAAATTAAAAATGGAACTCCCATTTGACCCAGTTATCCCACTTCTAGGAATATATCCCAAGAAATCAGAAACACCAATCAGAGAGGACATATGCACCCCTATGTTCATAGCAGCACAATTTATAATAGTTAAGATTTGGAAACAGCCTAAGTGCCCATCAGCAGATGAGTGGATTAAAAAACTGTGGTACATCTACACAATGGAATACTATGGTGCTATAAAAAAAAAAAAAAGAACTCTTACCATTCGCAACAACATGGATGGACATGAAGAGCATTATGCTAAGCGAAATAAGCCAGTTGGAGAAAGATAAATATCGTATGATCTCACTCATTTGTGGAATATAATCAATAACATAAACTGATGAACAAAAATAGATCCAGAGACAGAGAAGCATCGAACACACTGCCAAACTTCAGAGGGAAGGCGGGTGTGAGGGGGTAAGAGATCAACCAAAGGACTTGTATGCATGCATATGAGCATAACCAATGGACACAGACAGTAGGGCAGTGAGGGCATTAGCTGGGGGGTGAGGGTGGCCGGGGAGAAATCAATCGGGGGAAAAAGGAGACATATGTAATACTTTAAACAATAAAGAATTTTTTTAAAGGACTTTTTTAAAGAACTGCTCAAACAAGACTTAATATGGACTGCAATGGGAGCAATGAGACTCTACGATGACACTTAGGCATCTAGTTTCAGTGACTGAGTGAGCAATAATACAAACATTGAGACTAAGAATATGAATATTAAGGTAAGATGAGGGAGCAAACAATGTGGTTTCTTTTTAAAAACTGATGTGGAGACAGTAATGGGACATCAAGGTAAAATGTCCAATGAGTACTTGACCATACCAAAGCAAGACTTAGTAGAGAGGTCTAGCATAAGAATACTGCTGAAACAACTAAAGTGGGTAAAAATCAAGCACATTGGAAGATAGCAACAAAGTATAAAACAAAGAGTATCTAAAATACATGCAGAATTCTTTCAAAGAGTAAGAAAGTGATCAAAGCAATGCAACAGCAAAATAAGCAAAGGATATAAACACAGTTTAAGGAAAGGACATCTAAATGGTTAAATAAGCATTTTAAAGGAAGGAAGGAAGGAAGGAAGGAAGGAAGGAAGGAAGGAAGGAAGGAAGGAAGGGGGAAGGAATGAATCTGTGGAAGGGAGGAATAGAGGGAAGAAATTAACATTTATATAAACAGCTGCAATCGGCCTCCCTGTGGTTCCTTGAACATGCCAAGCATATTCCCACCTCAGGGCCCTTGCATCTGCTGTCCCCTTTGCCTGGTAGTCCCTTCCCGCCTAAATTCCCATGACTAACTCCTCCTTTCACTCAAATCTTGGCTCAAATGGCAACTTCTAAATGAGGCCTCTTTGAACACCCTATTTCAGATTGCAAGAACTCCTCCACCCCACACTCTATACACTCTTTACTTGAAACTCTGTTTTGTTCTTCTCTGTGGCACTTATTATGACTTAAAGCACTAAATATCTTATTTATTAGAATGTTCTCTCTCCTGACTAGACAATTATTTCCATAAGAGCAGGGATTTCCTTCAATATTATATTCCTAATGCTCAGAATAATGTCTAGCACATAGTAAAAACTCAGTATTTGTTGAAAGAATATCTAAATAAGATAGAATTTTGTCAAAAATATCTTATGTTCAAAATTTATCTTAAAGTACATTGCTTTAAACATGCAAAACTGCCAACTATTCATGCAGAGGAAAGACCACCTCTTATTTTAAGTTCATACAATTTCTAATTTTTAGGTGTTAAAATAGTCTTCCTTTTTCAAAATGATAGCTCTATTAATTATTTTTCCTTAATAGCCTTATTTGCCAACATGGGAAATGTTCAAATCTGTCAATGTCTAATTCTTTTGGAAAGTTTGCTGATTTCACATATCTAAAATTCTGGGAACTACTGACATACAGGATTAAAATAATTCATCAGAACATCATTCAACCATCTAGCCCAACAGACCCATGGAAATCAACTTCATCCTTCAAAAATCTTCTTCTCTAGTCAAGACAGTCTCCTTACCATCTTCATGACTTTGATTCCCTGTGGATGCTTCTTCTGAGCTTTCCCCTTACTTCATCCCTTCTTTAAAACCTTCCCATCCAAAGATTTCCACTGCTTTAAGTATATTATCTAAAATTCTTTACCACTCCAGCCTACATTCACTCATCTCTCATCTGAGCACCTCTAGCCCTCTAGGTAGAGCTCATGTTAAACAGTAGTTTGGCCCAAGCCAACTATGTAAAATCACTTCAGGGAGATTTTTTAAAAAGACAATTTTCAGGGTCTCGGTGCAGATTGAGAGAATAGAATTTCAAGACTGGGGCACAGGATTCAATATATTTCAAAAGTCCTCCCAAATGATTTTGATCCATAGCCTGGTCTAGGAACAATTAATCTATACTATAAAATCTTAAATTAATCATAAAATACTTTGGTTATATTTAAATAAACATTATCTATGTGTGCTTTCCAGATCTTTTTAGGGAAGGAAGTCTTATAAAATTAAAGTAATTTTAATCATAATAATCATAACAGTTGCAGGTTTAACTTAAAACTTCAAATTAAACATCAAATGTGTATGTCCTATGTTGAATTATACATATGAAGGCCTTAATTTTGAAACAAATAACTTAAAATCCAATAGTAATTTCTGACATAGGTATGCAGAGCCATTTGTGAAAAAAGTATATTGATATTATCATAGGAGGTCATCTATTGCAAAGAAATTAATGTAATGAAGTTTATTCAAATAGCAGCAACCAAAATTCACTGTTAAAAAAAAAAAAAAGTGAACCTAAATATAGCCTAACCTGTTTGTTGTTCTCCGCCATGGAAAGCTGCAATGCCAAGATCATGGAGTCTGCGCCACATACAGTAGTTCGCTCAGAGTCACAAAGAGTGTGCCAATTCCTCCTGAACTCTTTAATCATATCCAAGACAGACTTCTGATGAAGCACAGCCATCCTCCTAAAGTAGGACAGAATGCAATATTAAAAAGCTTTATTTTCATTGGAAATTAATATTGAACATGTATAAGGCAAGCAAGAGTTAGAGAAAAATAAGTAATGAACAAGAGGCCATCTCATGTTTACAAAGATTGCTTTTCATGAAATTTAGGAAAACAGAATAAAAACAAGTTCTCCCCAATCATATTTTCCTCTCCTTTAGCTTTCTTAAGCCAAATCATTTGAAATAACAAAATGCAACCTTTGATCTGAAAATTCATACAAAATAGATACACCAATTCTGCAAACTTATAGTTACAGACACATAGCTAATTAAAACTGTGTTTAAACATTTTTGTTTTACGATAGATGGTAATATCTGTGGTAGATTGGGGAGGGAGGCAGCCAATTTCTTCCCATCATTATATTATCCCAAAAGAGACTGTCTATTTTTCCATCCCTTTGAATCTCGGTTGGCCTTGTGACTTGATTTAACCAATAGGATGTAGCAAGAATGGCACTGTGGGAGTTCCAAGCCTAGACCTCGAAAGGCCAGTGCAGAAAAAGAGTTAATACAGCAGGCCTGATTACTATCCTTTGAAAGTCCTGCTTACAAGGCTGGCCCTTGACTGACATCTGGGAACTTAGATTTCAGGAGGGTTTCTAGTAAGAGTGGCTCACTGTGCTTAAACTGTTTATACAACAATATAGTTATGCTGAACACATAGGTTCCTTCTGAGTTTGGATTTTGGAACAAAATCTCAGATGTTTACTATGTATCTTGGGTTTCTATGATCAAGAAAATGGGCATATGCCATTTACAAAATAATAACTTAAAGACACAATCAGTGACGCAACTTAAATGTACAGGTATAAGACTGAAAATATCTACTTAAATACAGATCCTAGAAAATAGCTAAGAATTTTATTTCTCTTAAAAATATCACCCTCATCTCTTATAAGAAATAAAAAAAGAACGTGAAGAAGTAATGCTTCTGTAATGATCAGTTTGCCTGAAAGAAATCTTTAGTAGTAAATGACTTACTAGTGTTATTTAAAGGCCAGTGCAGAAAAAGAGTTCAGATTGCTAGAATGAAAATGAGTCTAGAATTACACTGTTCTGATTCCTGGCTTCACCACTTGCTAGCTGTGAGATCTTTGCCAAGTTATGTCACCTCTCCCAGCCTCAGCTTCGTTGCACTGAAAAATGAAAATAATAACAGTTACTATCTCATAGTTTTGTAAAAAGTAAATGATAAATATAAGTGAAACTTTTAGATCAGTGCCTGGCACATATAAGAGCCAACAATCTTATCTAGAGGTCAGCACACTTTTTGGAAAGGGCCAAATAGCATATATTTGAGGAGTGCAAGCCATACAGTTTCTGTTACAACTACTCAACCTGACCTTGCCATGATAAAATAGCCACCAACAACCCATGAACAAATGAGCTTCATCAAAACTTAATAAAAACTGAAATTTGAATTTTATATAATTTTCACACATCCCAAAATATCATTCGTCTAATGATCCACCCACCCCACCCCCCACTGCCCACCCCGCAACCATTTAAACATGTAAAATCCATTCTTAGCTTGGGAACTGGATGCACTAAAACAGGCAGTGCCATGGGTTTGCAGTGCCATGGGTTTGCCAACTCTCCCAGTAGCTAGCTGGCTGTGTGAGCCTAGGCAGCTTTTAACCTGACTGCCTAGGTAGAGGTTTCATCAAAAAGAAAACAGGAATAATATTTTCCAGCCAGTTATGAGGAGTCAGTGAGACAACGAATATGCAAGCCCTCTGAATGTCAGTCTGCACTACACAAAACCAGTAGTAGAAGGTGGCAGAGATCATAAACACTTGTTTAAAAAAAAACTGGATTCCAAGCCGCACTGAAGCAAACAAACATTGTGAGACAGGAAACTGTCACTGGGGAGGCAGTGTGAGATGATTAAAAGAACTCCACTTTTGCGTCAGAGAGATCAGGGTCCACATGCAGGCTCTCCCATTTATTAGCTGTATGCCCTTCGGTATTTAAAATATCTGATGAACATATATTTCTTCATCTGTAAAGCGGGGAGGATATCTCCTATCCCATAAAATTATGAGACGTTAGAGAGACAAGTAAATAATCCACCTAGTGCCCGGCACTTAGTAGGTGCTCAATAAAAAAATGGCAGTCGTTGCTGCAATCACTGGCAGAATGCAGGTCCAAAAAGTTCCTCGGGAGGATGTAACAGGGAGAGGGCGAATGCAGCAGAACTGGAGTCTGCGTAGGTTTGGGGAGTAGAACCCCGGTTTGTCGCCTAATGAACCTAAGGAGCCCTCAATGGGCCTCTGACAGCCCCACCCACTCGTAGATACTGTCAACTCCGTTCAATACACCCAGACCCAACCTGGCTGCAGAACGAAGCCACCGCGCAAATAACTTAAACGATCACTCGGCGCTTTTCTGTCACCGAAAAACCGCGGCTTGAATCACCACTTACCGTGTGACATGCGGATGGAGGAGAGGTCAGAGTCACCTGGCTCGGGGGAGACTCGGGAGGTGCCGGGCCAGCTGAAGCAGGGACCTTCCCAGCCGCACAGCCTCTCCGCTGTTTGAATCGTCGCGGGTTACATTTTAAATCTCGCGGGAGGGCCTGAGAGCCAATCGCCGCTGCCGCCCTCTGACCCGGAAGCAGAATCGACGCGAGCCTCTAAGTGCCCTCCTCGGATACCCACTCTTCTCTGGCGATTCCCGGTTCCCTCCGGTGCGTATCACGGAGCTCAGGGGGCCGCGCCGCTTTGCTACCGACCGCCCCGCCGTCCCCAGGCGGCTCTCCACCCCTCTTCCCTCCGACCTCGGGCTCGGGGAGGCGGTAGCGGGGTCTCGCGCGATCTACCTGGGACACGGGGAGGCATCTGGCTCTTAGTAGGACCGCCTCTTACTCCCTCCCCGGTGCTCTTCCAGTTTTTCAGGCACGTGTCCCGCCCGCCGTGCACTGTGAGACCCCGATAATGTAGCGAGACCGGACACTACTTTAGACCGAGTGTCCTGACCGCGAGTCTCCTGCCTTCCCGCACCTCTGTGCCTCCGGGGGCCTTTCAGACGGCTGGTCGCCTTAAGCTAAATGCCCAATCCCGAATGCCCGCTTGTAAGGTCACTAGTGTATTGGCCGTCTGAGGTGGGACTCATCTGATTCCCAATAAGTCCTCATCGGGTACTTCATATGTTTGTAATCGAGCCCAACTGTTTTCAGGATAACTTCTGCGTCCAATAAAAAATAAAAATAAAGAACCTATAGAATCCATGTCTCTTTCGGGAATGCTACATCCAGAGTGCATACCAGACCACGACAGCTTAGTTGACGTTTTTGTGCAGGTTATGTGAATATTATTTTTTATAACACATTTTGTCACTCCTTCCATATCCCATATTTTGTATCTGTTTGTAGTGCAGCACTTTTCACGCTGAACCATACCTGTCCCGGATTGTGAGCTCCTGCGAAGCCCAGAGCTGCGTTTTTCTTTAGCACTGGCGTCCAACACGTGGTAATGTTTTCAAACTCTGACTCATCTTATGGCCTTGGAAAGCTAATTTAAGTCCTGAAGCTTTGATTTCCTCATCAGTAAAATGGTAACCATGGGCAGTACCTCCCTCTAAGGCAGTGGTTCTCAACCTTCTGGCCCTTTAAATACAGTTCCTCCTGTTGTGACCCAACCATAAAATTATTTTCGTTGCTACTTCATAACTGTAATGTTGCTACTGTTATGAATCGTAATGTAAATATCTGATATGCAGGATGGTCTTAGGCGACCCCTGTGAAAGGGTCGTTCGACCGCCAAAGGGGTCACGACCCACAGGTTGAGAACCGCTGCTAAGGTTTATAGGAATAGTTGATGCTATATTGTCAGTAAAATGGTTAACATGGCACCTGCAAAAGGTGCTCTATAAATGTTAGCTATCTTTAATTTGTCATAAATATGTTTGCTAAAGTGATTTCCTCTTCAAATGTTATATTTTTTAGATAACGTAAACAAAATTATGGTGATTCATGCTGCTTGGTATCACAAAGTATCTAAATAAGTAAATTTTTTTTTGCTGTCTGTGGCATTTGCAATACTCCATTCTTATTTTGCTCATTTGCTGAAAGTGAATAATATTTTCGACCGTTTCTATCTAACTGTGTCTGTGCTGTAGTTCACAGTTTCATGACCTTGTCCAGTAGAAGGCTACTTTATTGTTACAACTGCTCAAGCTTTGACATACAAGATGAAGCAAGATGCCACAAGGAATGCTGCCTACACCGTGGATTGTGAAGATTATGTGCATGTGGTAGAATTTAATCCCTTTGACACCGGGGATTCCGGAAACCTACTTGCATATGGTGGCAATAATTACGTGGTCATTGGCACGTGTACATTTCAGGTGAGTGTGTGAAACTACAGTGAATGACAATGAAGATATTTCACTAATAACAAAGCTTCTGCAAATGTTGGTAAACTTTTGCTAAACTTTGAAAGTATATTGCTTCCCTTTGAAGTTATTTTTTTATCTAGTTAAACAGTATTAGACATTGTTCTTAGTCTCTCGTGTTAGAAGCTTCAAGTTCCATACTACCTAATTTCATGCCTCCCTCTTGTCTTGAGAGAAAACTAAGGTAAATCCAACTGGAAGATTTCCTCATTCCTATCAGAAAGGCAATCTTATTCTAACACTGGTAAAAAAAAAAAAACACTATTAATATCACAAATTTGAATTTCAACAAAGCATTTTTCAGAATCTGATCGTGTTCTTTTGAAAGATGGAAATTTAAGCTGAATGATGTATTGATTGATGTCATATATCTGTCAAATATTTATGAAGTTCAGATCTGGTGTGGGCACTGGTAATACATGTTTATAAAAGCAAGGACCCTGCCCTCAAGGAGATGTTTACATGTAAACAGTGTAATAAGAAAACTTCTATAGAAGTCCTATTTGTAGACGGGAGAGGGAGTGTGAAAAGTTCTAAGTCTATTCAAAGGGTCATCAGTAATGAATTAAGGCCTCTACTGGGACTTGGATGGGAACACTTGACTCAGGCAAGAGCACGAAGCTGAGAAGGATATCTAATGTTTTGGATGGCAGAGTTCATTTAATACGCTGTATGTGCACATACCGTATGTCAGACTCTGCTCAGAATCCAAATACTATATAATATATGTAATTAATGGGTCAAGTTGAACAAGCTAAAATTTAATAAAGATGAATATAAGTCTTAATATGATAGATTACTAGAGCTAAAAGGGAGAATTGTGACTTCCAGTTTTTAATCACCTGGATGTTCACCATGAATCAGTGCAAAGATTAAACTGCCAAAGAGAGCTAATTCAGTGCTGTCCAATAGAAATATAACGTGAGCCACAAATATAAATTTAAATGTTGTAACCACATTATGGAAAGTGTAAAGCAGATGAAATTAATTTTTTACCTAGCATATCCACAATATTTTATGTACAACCAATATGAAAAATTATTGAGATATTTTATAGTCTATACTAACTCTGAAATCTAGTGTGGATTTTGCACTTTATAAAGTGTACACGTCTCAGCTTGAACTATACATATATCAAGTGTTTAAAAGCCCCATGTGGCTAGTAGCTACTATATTGGACTGCACAGCTCTATATTCTCTATAAAGTGGCAGTAATGTTTATTTCAGTTCTCAGCACTGTGGAGATTTAAGGAGATAATGTACTTGAAGACAAATTTCAGAGTGGTATTCAAATATTTAAAACTTTGCATAAAAGAGGGATTAGACTCAGAATGGTAAAAGTATTGTTATTTGTCAATTCTATTTAAGAGTGATGCCAAATCTTCTCTGAGTCTGTTCCCCTAAGGCAGTGGTTCTCAACCTTGGCTGCACATTAGAATCACCTGGGAATCTTTTTAAAATCCTGATTTCTGGGCCTCATCCTCCAGAAATTCTGTTTCTTTGTTATGGGGTAGGCCACAACATTAGTAACAAAGAAACAGAATTTCCAGAGGATGAGGCCCAGAAATCAGGATTTTAAAAAGATTCCCAGGTAATTCTAATGTGCAGCCAAGGTTGAGAACCACTGCCTTAAGGGGAAATCAGCTATGGCTAGGTATTTGCCACCACTGAATTAGACTTATTACTCTGTGTGGTTCCAGAAAGCAGAATTTGGAGTCATGAGTAGAATTTACATGTAAAAAGATTTTGTTTCATGTTAAAGAGAACTCTTCTAATAATTTGATCTATCCTAAATAGAATAATCTCCCCCCAACAAGTAGCTAGTTCCCTCTCACTGAAAGTGTTCAGAAAAGGGTTGTGCACTCTTGTTTTCAGATGATGTACCAGGGATTTAAGCATTCAATGAAAGAAACAGAGTAGGTAAACTTTACAGTCTCCTCTAACTAAAATTCTATACTTGGCCTTAAATGGGTGTGATAGGAAAGCCTGCCCATTTCAAATCCTTAGAATAGCCCTTTCATCAACCTGGCTTTGCTCCAACCTCAAATATGCTGGAGCCTTGTATAATGATATGTATTATGGGAAGTTTTCCACAAAGTATCTTAATTTCCTGCCTATACAATACTGCCTACACCCAAAATAGCATTTGTCTCTGCCTATACCACACACACACCCTGGCCTTTTAGTTGGCTCAATGGCAGACATTGCTGCCAGGAAAAAAACATTTCACTGGTAATACATAAAGCTCAGACTGTACATTCCCTGGGATTTCTTTATCCCCATGACCACCAAATAATTCCATATATGCTTTGGATAACAAATTACAAGACCTAATTGTCAGCACTATTGTTACAGTAGCAAAATAACGTCTGTTTTGATGGTAAAAACTTCATTTTTAGAAGATTGATTTGTCGAGTGTAGAAAAATAGATGTAACCCAAACTATGAAGTCAGCTATGATTAGGCTTCTAACCTTATTTTAAAATTGCTTAGTGGTTGCTGTCTTGGTATATCTGGCTGTTAGCCATACAGTTATACACACAAATTACGAAGTAATAAAATTTGACAGTGTTTTTCTTTCCTTGATAAATACATTTTTATCCTTTTTTTCATTTATGGAAAAACTTTTTGCTGTTAACTCTAAGTTCATCTGAAATTTAAATTTATTTTCAAGGGACATCTGAATTATGTAGAGAAAGAGATGTGTAATGTATTTGTGAAATGACTTTGTTAAGATCTCAAAGGCTATCCTGGAAAAATCAACACATCCACTGGGATTCCATTAAAGTACACATTATACAACTTTGCATTTAGATTCAGGATGAATGGAATTCTTAGAACAAGTCTTCAGATAATTCCCTTCCATAGAGACACACGTGTCCCATTAAATACCAAGTTTCACCTGCTCTAGATTTTTTCCTGCTATTTTATAATCCTATAAACTTTTATAAAAGATAACTAGTCATTTAACATAGACGATTCCTTTGAAAAATTTTGTCACGAAAATTTTTGCTTTTGCCCTGGCCAGTGTGGCTCGGTTTGGCATTGTCCCGTGCACCAAAAGGTTGCTGGTTTAATTCCTGGTCAGGGAACATGCCTGCGTTGTGGGTTTGATCCCTGGTAGGGGGTGGGAAGGAGACAGTCGATCCATGTT